ATTTTGACAATTGGAGGTAGGCCATGTAATTGAATTGAATCAGTATAAATTTTTTGAATGAAGCTTCTTCTTCTCTAAATTTCTTTTGTTACAATCTCATTATTCAAACGTTATTTTGACATAAAACTCTATTGTTTTTGGAAAAGCTTTTGAAAATTTTATAGAACACTCGATTCACTTTCTCTCTAGGGTGACCAACATATTCAACAAGCCATTAGAAAGAAACATGACTTATTCTACAATTAATAAATTGAGTTGAAGAATTCAAGTAATCAATTTTAAGAAATCTATCATCCCGAGCACCCAAATCCCACCAGCATACTTCATAGCTTCCAATCTAATCCACTATGAGAATCCCAACTTTCAAATAGCCCTATCACCTTTCACACCACTCACCTGCATTTCAGACAATATCAAGAGCTTAACTGGATTATACTTCAATGAATCCACTTTGATTGTATTTTTCCTCCTTTTTTTCCCCCCAAACTTTGGCGTTTAGATTGACCCAAAAACCAATTGTTGTTCAGATTAACTATGTGAAGTCTAATCATCATTCCAATTATATTAAACGGTCAAGACCTTTTTAACGAAATTATCATTCTAGATATTAGCTTTTGAGGCAAGTGCACCCACATTAATGCTTGTGGGTCCGTCCCTTGTTAGTAGTTTGGCAAGGCTTTGATTCCTTTCGAATAAAAATAATTTATCAAAAAATACTTTATTTTCATTTATTAGAAATATATGAATTTTAAATGTATTTTTTTTACAAATTATTCATTTTGATTTAATTTATTTATCATAAAAAAAGTTTACTGTGATTTCTTTTCTTAAGCAAAATTTAGTATTAAACAAAAAAAAAATCCACTGATTTTATCTCCAAATAAATAAAATCCACTAATTTAACCATTGTTTTTCTTTAGACACTATAGTCTTTTAATTTTACACAATACTAAACCCAATGCTAAATTTTTAAATAGGGAAGGAAATTATAAATATATAAAAAAATTAGAACTTTTTTTTTTGAAAAAACTATTTATATGAGACTAAATTAAGGGAGAATTTCATTAAAGGACTAGTAATGTGACTTATTTATAAATCAAACCCAAAATAATTTGAAATATCACTGCAAGATTTTAGGTTTGAACTACAATTAAATTGAAAAATAAAAGGAAAAAATATCTGAAGATCCTTATAGTTTCACTCAATTTTAAATTAAGTCTTTGCATTTTATTTTATTTTAATCAAGCCCTTAAAATTTGATCTATTACATATGTTAACCCCCAAAGATTAGAATTAATAATGAGTTATTAAATTTAAAAAAACAAAAATAGTCTTGGAGTTTACAAAAAAATTTAATTAATACTTTTAGCCAAAAACAAAAAGCAAAAATTTATTTTAGTACACTATTTATATTTTTGTTGATTTTTTTGAAAATTCTATATGTATTTAGAACCTGATTATATAAATTTTGAACTATAAAAATTATGTAGTTAATTCTAAAGTCATACAATCATTTAATAAAATATAAAAATTTCTAATTTTGTTTTTTCAAAGGAAAAATTTGAGCATTTTAACCTTCAGGCATTAAAAATTTTAATTGATCAAACCATAAGGGTTTGGTTAAAACAAAATAAACTACATGAACTTAATTTAAAATTGAGTGAAAATATAAGGACTTGTAAATATATTTTTCCAAATAAGAATGACCAAAAGATTCTTTTTCAATTAAATTGAATAAGACACATAATGAATCTAACAACTAACAAGGGATTAACAAGTAATATTATGTAACATCCTAGAAATTTAATTAGGATTAATTAAATTAATCAAGGGTAAAATGATAAAAACAATGGAAATTAGAGAATTAATTAACCTAATTATGATTAAGAATCACTAATGGGCCTAATTGAACCTTATTTAGACTTAGAATTGGGCTTAGGTTAAGGTAGGAGTGCATTGGGCTTGGAAGAATGGAACAAAATCTGAGTTTGGCCCACTATACCATCCACCATCGTGAATTGTACATTTTAAAAAACAAATCTATCATGAGATAGATATTGAAATAGAAAGGGAAATGGAGAGAACGAATGAAAGGTTTCAAGGTCTGCTAAGACTTCATCATTCCACCATTTTGGCATGTTTTGGGGCTTGAGATTTCTTAGGTAAGTGGTTCTAACCTCCCTCCTCTCTTCCTATCCAATTTTCAATGTAGATTTTGGGTTTGAGAGGGTGTTTTTGAAATGGAGATGGGATGTTAATAGAGTTTATAAACCATTAGTTAGCATTTTAATGGGATTAATATTATTGGTTTTGTGGTTTTGACTGCAACCTAAGCTTGAAATTCACAATATGAGGATTAGATGGATAGAAATCGGGTTTGGTCAAGCTCTCTGGAGTCTAATAAAGCTAATGGAATTAATGAGCATTAAAGTTAACTAGCAAAATGAATTTTGGAAGTTGTGAGTGCAATGGGTAGTAAGAAAATCTATGTATATGGCTAGTAAGGTTGATAATTGCTATAGTATTAATTGTAGATTAACTACCAGATTACTTAAGCATACTTGGAAGCTTAAATTAAGGAGTATCAACGAGTACCCTTTGATTGACTCAAAAGGTGGAGGTAATTAAGAACCTAAATTCTCTCATATATATGTCCAAGTTGTTTTTGGAAAATGTTGTAAAACAAGTATATGACTAAATTGAGATTTATGGAATTTTAAATAATCAATAAATAAATGTGTGTGTGTAAGGGGGGAAAATCAATACATTTGACAAATATGAAATTTGAAATGAGAAAATATATATATATATATATATATGTTTGCGTGTGTAGGGTGAATCAATGCATTTGATGATTTTAAGGCATGATGAAAATTATATATGCATGTATATCTATGTTATGAATTGAGCATCATCATGAGTTTGGCATGAATGTGAAAAGAAAAGAATTGGAGTTCACCTTAGCGGCAAAAAATTTAAAAAGATCACGTGATATGGTCAACACTTGAATAGCTCCCAGTATTGTATAGTTGTGGCACCTGTTACAATAGGAGTTAGGCTTGGTTCTAACTCAGTGGAGAATACTTGATCTGGGAATGGGTATGTTATTGACAATAGATGACACTTTGTAGAAATTTGATTTGGAAAGGGGTTCATGGTCTAAGTTTGGCAAGTAGTGACCTTTAGCCTGATTAGCCTTCAAATATTAGAGAGATTAGGTTAGTCCATTCACATGAATTAGTCTTGTCATAGATTGTAGCACATGAACTTGGCCAGAAGGAATTCAGAGATAAGAAGGAAATAATGATCATGCATGCATAATTACTACGATAATTTGCTTTACAATTATGTTTACTCAATTTACACAATGCTTATTCTTGTATATGTTAAAAGTTAGGATTATTTGATTATTGAGATGTTTATTTTACCTCATAGTTTATATTTGTAAGTAACGCATCAGCCAATGGCAAAGGGAAGGAACAGGAGGGTAGAAGTTAGACACATATATTTATAAATCCTCTTGTCTATTTTGCATAGAGAACTTGGATGACATGTATGTATTGCCAACTAAGAGACATATTATGCATTGTTATTGAAATTGAAATTATGATTGAGAATGAATGCATGTCTAGCCATTGTGAAGTAAGCCATGAGGGCTTGTGATGGGGCTAGAGAATATTTATGATGGGTATGTGAATGTGACAAATAATGAATGAGGATTGATGATTTCAAAATGTGTGAATGCATAATGACACTCATATGTACTTATTGTTGAGTTGGTAGGTTAATTAATGAATTATTGATGATGGATTGAATTGGATGATTGATATATATATATATATATATATATATTTGTTTAGGTCCCTTAAGTATGGTTTTAGGCCCCCATTGAGGCTGTTGCCTTATAGTTAAGAAAATAAACACCCAATGAAAATTTGATATTAATGGTCCCGACCGTCCAACTTTCTTACAAGTTAATATTTTGATTTGAAACCATGATCAATAGTTAGAACTCAAAAAGACCTTTTTAATCAAATATTAAATGCAGAAATGGTACACATGAATGTTGGGCTTTGGGTGTTGTCATGTACAATTTCCTTGATTTTTTTCTCTTTATCTCAATTATTTTGATTTTACAGATTTAAAACTTGAAATTCCATTTTCAAAAGTATTTTCTATTTAAACTTGTGTTTAAATAGATATTGAGATTATTATGGTAATGGTTATTATGGAATCTAATACTTCATTACCATGATGATATTGAGATTAATTAGTGAGTTAATTAGAGTAAGTATTATATACTACATGTTTAACAAGTCAATTACATTACTTAAAAAGTAAATTAACAAAAAATTATTTATTACATGTTAAATGCTAATAAATGAGACAATGGACTTAACAAACAATGATAGGAACTTAACTAACACTATGTGTCAAACAAGTCAAACATTACTTAACAAGTAACTTAAGTAATGTATTTAGTACAAGTTAGATGCTAAGCAAGTAACATAATGGACTTAACAAGAAGGAATTAACAAATAATATTAATTGTTGAACATCTAACATGTAATGTATCATTACTTGTCAAGTTACTTTTCAAATAATGTAATCAAATTGTTGACATGTAATGTTACTTGTTAATCCTCTACCATTACTTGTTAAATCCATTATATGTCTAGTTCAATTTAATTAAAGGATATTTTGGTCATTTTACTTTTCATTTAATTTTAGTTCAGATATAAAATCCTGCAGTAATATTTCATATTGTTATTTATGGGCTTGATTTGTAAATAAGTCCCATCAATAGCCCTTCAATGAAATTCTCTCATTAAAAATCTACCATCAAAAGGTTAATGAGAGTTGCTTATGGAATTAATATGATAATTTTACTAGTTCGACGTTTGTTTTCATTGCTAAATTCAGCACTATCAAAATATTGTTGTCTCTTAAAACCAATCACAATTGGCTAGTTAATTAATTACATGTAAATATAATACAGATTTGAAAATCCCATCTATTTACATTATAATCAATACAGCTACAAAGATTATCCAGATTGCATGCATCATCTAATACAAGTTGTAAGAATATATACAATTGAATTGATGTTACTTCTCTTTAATCACATGTCTATTATAACACCATAAATTCAATTCTCACCCCCTGAACAACCCATGTGTCTGAAAGACAAATAATCTTGTGAAGCAGTCAGCCCTAATTGGATAAACATATTCTAGAGAAAACATAACTATTGATTCCAATAGTTTTATCATGTTTTGTTATTGATCCTTGTGCTATTTTTTTCCCGATGTGCTAGGTCCCTCTACAATGCTAGTCCCTCTACTCTTAAATATGTAGAGAGGGATGATGATGCAGCACTAATAACAGTATTAAATTATTTGATACGTAACTAACAATGTTAATCAGGATGATAACATGTTTAAAACACATTGAGTTAGCAATTTGAATTAGCATAAGGTAAAAAAAGGGATGATTGCTTTTTGACGAAGACTGTTCTGATGACAGCTCTTGTCAATGTCAGAAAGTGATTTCTAGTCATCGTACTTATGCATCAAATACCTTAATTTAATGCTGTTTGTGCCGCATCATCATACCTTTGGCATATTTAAAAATAAAGGGACTAACATTGCTAGTAGAAAAACTACAAGGACCTACAATATTAAAAAAAAAAATAAAAAATACAGAGACCAATAACAAAACACGATTAAACTATAGAGATCAATAATTATGTTTTTCCAAGATTCTAACAATTCTTTGATCTGGAATAGTCTGGTGGAAGAGATGGGCACCTTTCATTCATATGAGAATATGGTTGCATGGTGTTGTAGCCAGGTAACTCCATTCGATACTTCCCTTTAATCTGACAATAAGGGAGCTTCACAGTATCTCCATCATTGCACCATTTGGGCAAGCGACTCGATTTGTTCTCAAAAAAATTGAGCATGTAAGCATCTTTTATCTGCATTTATCATGTAGCACCCATAAACTTATACACCAACCCAACCACAACTTCAAGGATGAATTTCAAAAAATATCACATAGAAAGTAATATTTGAACCAAAGAAATATAATGAAATGCATTACAAGACATCATTTGTCAGATTGAAAGAGATCAAGAGAAATGGTTCTATCCACTTGATTCAGAAACTACGGCACTACAAACAGATTTCTTGACTTCTCATAAAAGTAAAAACACATCTTGGGAAGTGATATGCGCACTATTCTCAATAATCTACATTTATTCAATTGATTGAAAGATGTGGTGGTTGCCATTATTCACTGCACAGGCGTTCATTTGTTTCATAAAAGATACAGAATTAGTCGGAGGTGGTTTCATTCAATCTAATCAATTTTTGTCATGTAATCCACAAAGTATGAGAAGTCACACTGTTGATGACTAATAAATATTGTAGTTTACTATAGATTTTATATTGATATTGATGAAATTGTAAGAGAACCTGTCTCTGACCGTCTCCCCAAAACACAAAGAAGCAAAGTCCCACAACAGGTGTAACCCCTTTCATAAGTATAGAGACATGTTTCATCTTGCACCTATCAGCTATGGTTTTCACCCGTTCAAATAAAGCCCTCATCAACTCAATCAACACCACTGAAACTCATGAAATTTCCTAAATCAGTGTTGTGTAGGCATAAAATTGGAACGCCGTCACAATTATACATATAAAAAACGGCAAGCTAACAGATTCAACTTACTCAACCTTTCCTAGAGACTGTTGGCGAGAAACAATTGTTACTATATAATATATTTATATATAAACAAACTTTTATGAACTAACCGTAAATTCTGTGACTTGAATAGAGCTAGCAATTGGCTCAAACAATCCTGCTTCCTTGTACATCTGAAGAACAAAAGCAACACAAGAAGCTGATCTCCCATCACTGTAAACCCAATCATCTTGTTCTGGAATTGTCAGTAGTTCATCAAAAGATGATCCACGCCTTTCAACTTCTACTAAAATTTCAGGAAGGGTAAGTCCCTGAAGAAACCAATGAAAAAAAAAAAAAAACTCTATGGTTAATTCATTTAATGAATAATGATACTCCATATCATCACAAAGCAGTCATGATAAGAGATGAATGTGGCATGCCACATGTATACATGTCAAGCTCCAATTAATATTTGCACCAAAAGTAGAAATGAAATCCAATAACAAATTGTCTATACTTATCCATGTAATTGCAATGGATCACAAGCATTTCATCCTCTTTGATGGAACATACTGGTTCAGTTCAGTGTCATTAGACAATAAGCTTCATATCTGATTCATACCGAAACCAGTGAAGAGTGAATCGTACCTTAGTTCCAAGTCGTTTGTTCAAGGCTTCATTCCACATATTAGCAGCGTAATCAGGTTGGAGATGATTCCAAACAGTCATAACAGAAGCAACCTGCAGTACAACTTAGCCAATGGTCAAAAGACTCAAACTTTTTCTCAGTTATGTGGATTGTGGATGAAGCCAGATCAAATGCTAGGGATGAGGAGATGCTCTTTCCTACCAATACTTTGAAGGCCTCTAATGTTTAGTTGAATTCTTCAACTTGAATAATTCTTTTTCCCCTTCCCACAAAAAATAATTCTATTTTAAAATCTACAACATAGATACACATGCTGAGTGGTTTTACTGATGATGTTTTATATGCCATTATGAACTGAAAAATTAATGCAGACTTTAGGGGAGAACAAAAGCAGAATAGCTTATTAAGGTGATTACCGCATGAGCATCCACGGGAGGTGGATAGTTCGCACTTAAAGTATCTATCCAGCTGAAAATCATGTTATGGTAACCATAAGGTTGGTCAATCATGGTCCTTGCATACTCCCATGCAGCAGTCTCATTAAACTTTGCTCGGATATCAGGATGTAAAGGAAGCAAAGCAATGTGGGGGTTGGAGCTATCTTCGTTCAGTTCAAAGTCCCACCACTCATCCCAAGGTAACACTGCAATAATATCTTCCCCCTGTAAAAGAAACAAAGGAACCAAATAACATATGTGCATTGACTGCAAGTTATTTCTATACAAATGACCAGCCATTGCTCAAACTTACAAGAAGTAGGTTTTTCTTTCTTTTTCTTCTTTTTGGGTAGCACAAGCACAAGGAGTTGTTTTATCATAAAGGAAAAAACTATAATTTAACATGCTTAAGATTCATCTGAGACAGGAAAATTGCTAAATTTAAGCACTGTTACTCCTAAAAAGTATCTTAAAATGTGGAATGACATCGTTCACCAAGCTCTTTATAGTTTTATGTTATGGTAGAAAGAGAAAAGGAAAGAAACAGAATAGACAACAGGGCGAAATAGGAGCAGGATGAGAGACGAGAGAGAGAGAGAACAGAGGTAGGGAGAAAACTGAATGTATTTCAAGGATTTTTATCATTAAGCATACATAGCTATCCTTTAAGATCTCTCCTTATATAGGCTCTTCTACTAAGTATCTTATCTAATCCGAACTACTAACCTCCCAGTTAACTAACCAGATATTCTTTATATATTTATTCTTTTCATATCAATGCTCCCCCATTCAAAACCTTTGACCCCAAGGGTCGACAATCTGAACCCCAAGACAAAAACAACAGAAAAACAAATAGAACCATAACTCTAGAGCCAGTAGTGAAGACACATCCCCACACAGAGAGATCTCTATTTTGCCATCCCTTGCCCATTATCTACGATGTCTTCTGCAGCATCAGGTTGAAGCTCAATCAGTTGTATTTGCATCTATGGCCTCTGAAGAACCGCTTATGACAATAAAAAAAAAAAAAAAGAGGTTTTTTGACCGAGGATCATCAACGTCTTCTGCGTGCAGCGTTTTTGTGACTTCCGCATGAGTTGCTGAAGAAAGAGCCGATGAAGGCGACGAAATAGGAGACGGAAGGAACAGAGGAAACGGACCCTCGTTTTGAAGAAATAGAGTGGGCATCTTGCGAAACGACATTTTTGTCCTTAATGAAATTGGACCCATTTTCCCCAGCTGCCTATTTGCCTATGACGCGTGTAGAGAAGGACCCAAACGACATTTTTGCCCTTACCTGCGTCGAGGCCTTTGTTTTCATCGGACGCATTTGACAAATGTATGTCCTGCAATCGGGCGAGAAGTCGAGCATCCCAGAGGGATGTTGGCTTGAGTAAACGAACAGGCCCAGCAAATCTTTCTTGTAAACCTTCAAGATAGATCTACACCAGATAATCCTCTATTAGGTCAAGTTTGCATGTGATTTCATCGAATGAGTCACTGTAGTCGGCCAGAGTTCCTATTTGTCGCATTCGGCCATGGGAACCTCATAGGTAGGTCCAAACCGTTTCTTTATCGCTTCCGTATATTCTTCCCATGCCAACGCTCGTTCCTTTCTTCCACGCATTAGGGCTTGATGCCATTGGAAGGCCTTCTCATCTAGGTGACTGCTGGCCATCATCAGCTTCCATGCTTCAGGGGTAGCATCTATCTGAAAATATTGCTCGCAATTCATAAGCCACCCAAGAATATCCCCTCTCTAAAATCTTGGGAATTCCATCTTCGTGAATCTTGTTGGTGGTTGGTATTCGTGCTGGTCTTGTCTTCGCCTGTTTCGGCCAACTCTGCCATTGTTGTTGGAGCCTCCAGTGGTACGTGTCTCATCCACTGTGCGTACAAGTACATAAACGTTCATCGGTTTGATCTGCCATCTTCTTCAATGCTGACTGAGAGCGGGTTATGGGCGTACAAGGCAGGAAAGATAGGCTTTGATACCACTGTTATGGTAGAAAGAGGAAAGGGAAGAAACAGAGAAAACAGGGGAAAATAGGGGGGGGAGAGAGAGAGAGAGAGAGAGAGAGAGAGAGCAGAGGTTGAGAGAAAACTAGATGTATTTATGGGATTTTTATCATTAAGCATGCATAGCTATCCTTTGAGATCTCTCCTTATATAGGCTTTTCTACTAAGTATCTTATCTAATCCTAACAACTAACCTCCCAACTAACTAATCAGATATTCTTTATTAATTTATTCTTTTCAAATCATTTTACATCTGAATATTAGTTCCGCAACTTGCTTCCGAAGAGCTACTACGCTCAAGCTTAAGATATAAACAAGTCCGGCCAATTCAAATAAACAGATAATCCTAAGCTAGAAATACAAAATACAAACACTTTTGACTTTAAACAAAGGAGACATATGACTGCAGAGATTTTTTTTTTTTACTCCAAGTCTCTTAAATTTTATCTGCCTGCGTCATTAGTCCTTGTATCTTATATTTTTAAACATTTTTAAAAGGTAGAACTCTAATTTCCATATTCTGTCTACATCCTATCAATTTTTTGGGGATCAAATCCTAAAACAACTGAGCATCACAGTGCTTTATAGTATCTACACAAGCAAAAGCAGTTTAATCAAAACAATAAGAACTGATTATCAAATGTAATGCATCTCTATTCTGATAATTTGGGCAGCTTAAATGGTTTTACCTTGTCATTCTCATGTCCTGATTCACCAACCCATAGCTTTCCATCAGAATCTCTTAAGCAAACAGCAGTGTGACCAGCGTATGCTCCACTGACCCATTTCTCTAGAGTCTCAAACCCACCCCAGCGACCTCGAATTTTTGAAATGGCAAGGAAATCTCCAGAGTGAATGTCATCGACACTGACATTAGTAACCCATGGTTGAGGACGTGCTTCAAAAGAAGCTCCCATGTGTTCCTTTAGAAACCCAAGATTGGAGTTCTCCCCCCATCCAGTATTTGTAAACAAGGGGAAGACTTCCCACAGTGATTGAAGGGTTCCTAGCATCCCAGCTTTCATGAGGAAAATTGATACCCCCTCGTGTTTAACCTGATTACAAAGATAGTAAGGATCAATAAAACAAATGCATGTTTTAAAACAAACTTTACCATATGTCCAGCAATGATCTACTGAAGGAAGCCACTTACATACTCATACTCAGCTTTCCCCTCCCACTCTTTGAAATCTAATGTGTGCTCCCGAGACATGAAATAATAGTCCCATGCCACACGATACGGAGAAGCAAAGACATAAATGTCCATGCATGTCCAACTATGAGCATTACTTACCTGGTTGAGCACACAGATAATCAGCCATGTTAGAATTAATAACTGAAGATCACTCCTATGCCTTCAACTAACAACTTAAACTATAGCAACAACAAACTAGAGGCGGATTTGCAATTAGATGTGATAAGAAAACATGATCAAAAGAGGTAGACCAAGAACCCCAAGACTCTATCATAAGAAGCAATTCCAACAAGGTTTAAATCAAATTTAGACCAAAATTCACAATCCTAAAGTACTCGCATCCATTGGACCAAGAAAGATACTTGCCTCTAATAGTCAAGACTTTTAACTTGAAAAATAGAAGAGGTGACGCAATTTACTTCAAGTTAGTAGGACTATACTAAAATCAAGCTTACAAGCCCTCTGCCTTCATACATACACATACGTAAAAGCGAAATCTTACATCTATGAACTTCGCATAAATAGTCCACATAATTTGACCTCAAATTCAGGATTTTAAAATCTAGATTTTAAAATTTTGCAAAATCCAAACATAGAATAGCGAAGATGACAAACTGAATATTGAAGCGGGCAAACTGCAAGCCCATAAGTTAGCACGACCAGGTAATGTTTCATAACAGATAAATTAAAACCTAAAATGACTGAAATCAGATCCTTAAAATTCTTAAATTAACGTTCATTAAACCAAAAACTAACCAGAATTTCGATAATAAGAAAATCTGTCCTGAATGACTAAAACTTCGCAACCGCATAGATAAACAGAATCCAAACAAGATATCGAACTTTAGATGGAAACCTTCAAATGCAAGGTTCCGCCACCAAATTCGGTGCCGCTGTGGTTGTGAAACTCCAACCAGGCGGTGTTGTTGTAGAAGCACGCGCCCTTCCATTCCATGGAGTCATCTGGGGACGAAGCAGCGCCGACGAAGGACGGCAGAAGATCAGCGGCACTGTAGAGAGACTTGAGAAAAGGCCAGGATACCTGTCTCGGCAAAAGTGGAAGCACGTCATGAGGGTAAAACGGGGATTTCCAAGCAAAGACTTGAAGGCAAAAAATAGATAAGAAGGTGAAGATCATGCGCATGATCTTGCGAATGAAAGATTGCGGAGCGGAAGAAGCCATGGCATATCGGGCATCCAGAACGCACGGCGCAGAGACGGTTGGGCGTTAAAAGGGAAGACCTCACTTCGAAGTTTTCTCGGATAGGAATCACTGTTATTTTAATTATGTAATTAAAAGGTTCGTTTAAGGATTAACGGATTTTTTTGAATGTTTATTTTAAAGGAAAAATTATTTATAAATCTCCCATTGGAAAGTTTATTGCCCCAAGATCTCTAAACTCAGTTTGAGGACCTCGGGGCATTGGGCGATGATTCTATCATATTCTTCCTTCTTTTTTTTTTTTTTTTCCCTTTAATAGCTTAAACTTAATCTTCTATAAAATTATTATTAAAATATTAAATTATAAAAACATGAAATATTAAAATTTAGCCTACTAAAATTTAATATCAGTAATTAAAAAGTACAATAAAAACAAAATAAAAAGGATATTATACAGGAAATTAAATCTAGACTATCATAATCTTAATCTAATGGTTATAAATTAAAAAAAGGAGACTAAAAAAAAGGGGAAGAGAAGAAGAGAATCCCCACTCAAGCATCATAGAGGGGATAAGTTTGAGGGGAAAAAAGATCAAATTACTCTTATTACAAAAAAATGCATATGGTGAAAAATAAGTGGTGTTATTAATGTATATCTAATGTTATATACACAAGTGTGTGTGTGTGTGTGGTGGTAAATGAATATAAAGCCTCGTTTGATATGATGAAAAAATTTTTAATAAAATTGAAATTGGAATCAAAATCGGAATTAGAATTGAATTGAGTTATAAAAGTTTGTTTTTTGAGTATGGAATCCTAATATAATTTTAATAATTATATGCATTCAAAACAACAAAGTTACCAAAATGCCCCCTTGATAGAAAAAATCCCACCACACCTCTCCTCCTACCCATGACCTCAACAATTCAACTACATGGAAAGAGAGATGCCATGGAGAGAGAGAGGGAAAGAGAGAGGGGGGAGAGACGTTGTGGGCGGTGGCTGGTGGCCAAGAGCCTTCACGAGCTCAAGCACCTTTGCAAGTCCATGTTTTGCACGTAGATGAGCAATGCCCAGACTTGGGTGAGCACCGCTGAGGCAAAAGCCCAATGAAGTAGAGGTGGTGGTGAAGATAGAAATGAATATGGTGATGAAGTCAGAAGCATTCGGGTCCAGCTATGATTTTGATGAAAAATCACACTGTCTACCATCTCCCACGTCAATGCTGCAATTCAAAAGCAATTGCAGCTAAGAGACCAAGTTGCAGAGGGCATGAAAATCAGAGAAAGAAAGTGAGGTAAAGGCGACCGAAGTGGAAGATGTATTCCGAGAGTGTGAAGGCAAATTGAGAGGAGGAGGATCATTTCAAGTTTGATATGTCGAAGGAGGATTACTTTGGATTCGATATGCCAAATTAGGAGCAGGTATTCAATTTCTCAATATTGAAACCAGAATCTCATTACTGTTTGAAGAAACTCTACCGTGTTTGGGGGAGACGACATCGATCTCAGTAGAGGAAGGTTTTAGAGCGAACAAAACAAGTAAAAAAAAGGCAGAGATAAGATGGAGGGCATGGTGGTCTGAACAAATTAATTTCATGAAATTTGATCGGTTCTATCGTCATTATGATGGAATCCAATTTATAAAAATTTCCTTGAATCTAGATTCCTAAAAATCACAATTCAAATGTACCAAACTTGTTTCCATCAAGATTCCATTTCTATTTCTGATTCTTTTTACATGATTCTTGCATATCAAACATGACCTAAGTTCACTTTAGATTAGTATCATAAGAGCAATAATGGGTTTGAATTTAGTAAAATGAGTTAGTCCAAACTAAAGTTCAAATCCTCACTAAAAGATATGTCCATTTTTAATGCATCAAATAAGATTTTGTCTTTAACAGAATGATATCTATAAGTAATATAAAAAAAGAGTAGTATGAGAACCTGTTTGGTTTCAACCCTTACATATTTGAAAAGTCCTCTTACAAATTCATTTATACACATAAATTGTTTGGATTGTTATTAGTCTTCAAATAACCCATCTTCCTAACATGAAAAATCATACTTTTTACATTTAAAAGTGGGGTTCAATAGGCTATAGAATAAAGTTGCACAAGATAGAAGAATTTTGTGCATGAAGTACGATATGTTACACATGTGGAAGATATGTTGCATACTTGAAAAATATATTGCACACATTATAAACGGCATGGACCATAAAAGAAAGTTGTACATGGAAGACAAGTTGCACACATGAAAGATAATACATTTTGGAGCAAGAAACTTACCTTTGTATCACATGAACATTGTAGGCGAGAACAGAGTTACATGGCTAAACTCGGTTCTTGATTTTCATAGCAAATACACTCACATGGAGAGAAAGAGAATAGAAGAAGCAAAGACTAATCGCAAAACCTACATTCCATTCCAAAAATTAAAAGAGAGGAAATTACACTTGAGGACATAAGAACATTGGACATTAAGACCCAACATTCATTATAATTATGATAAAACCCCAATAACCTCCCTTAATATCCACTTGACCTTGGGAGGAGTTAACTAAATCACCACATATTAATACTAAACTAAAACAATAATTAATTTGAAAAGGGCTTAGGACCTAAGACTTTATTTTACAAATCATCAAAATCTTTTATGTGTCAGGCAAAACATAGCAGAAGCTAATCATATGCATTCATCACAATAAATATATACTTTTATAGCAAAGAAACCAAATCTGAAAAACAAGGCATGTGTTGTGACATACACCACATGTGCCGCGCTGTGGTGTGGCATGCAATACATTGTGGCGTACATGATAGAATTTTTTGCTGTCATATGATTGTTTGTAGGGCAAGCTTTCATTGTGCATTGTTTCCTTATACAACATCTGATTGGAGTGATTCAAGCACCCACATGAAACTTATCTCATAAGGTAACTAATAAGGGAGGTTTAGACATGATCTAATGGTCTGATCAAAATTTGAATATCTAGGTGCAAAAAGTTATTTTTTCTAAAAATTTAGCACACCTAAGAGCTCAAATCACTCACATTATCTTATTAGACCATTATAGGTATTGAATCAAGTTCAAAAAGACCTTATACACCTGATTGAACACATGTTATATTATATATACATAGAGATTAGAATTTGGCCGCTCAATAGCTCATTTACACTTCAAGCAACTATTCACAACTTAACACAAAAACACTAGTTTAGCCATTTTACCATAAGTTAACATCATTTCACAAGTTTACCACATTCACAACAACTAAATCATAGCTCATGCATCTCATTTCACCACATATTCACATATCTAGGATAAGATTTACAAAATCACAATAATTCACAACTTTAAACATGCATGCAAGTCTTATGGCAACTTATATACACAATATCCACAATAATTGAGTTTATTACACAAACTCCAAATTCATATGGCTTTGACAACTCTAAGCCGATCTTGAATCCTTCCTTTTACCCAGCCCACAATTATGACCTGTAAAAATATAACCACGGGGTGAGATAATAATCTCAGTAACAAAATAACTCTCTACCACTAATTATCACATGTAACTATAAGTAAGTATAACATAGTATATAGTTGAACGTAGCATGTAAGATGGATTTCACCTCAATTTACTATATAAATATAATATTTCACCACTTTCATAACCCATTTTCACAATAATTCACCACTAGATTATAAATCATATCACCTCCTTTAATCTAGATTTATTGATGAATATATATATATTGATAGGTGTGGACTGATCTATATGTATGTTTAGACATTAAAAAAATTTAGGAATTAAATATTTTTTATGTAGAATTTAGAACATATCTGAGAAGTGTCTGACAAAAAAAAAACAAGATCCTGTGAAAATATTATTGATAATTTGTGAGATTGATTGTGGTTTGGAGCCATGTCTATCATGGTTATTGCTAGAAGTTCATGCCAAATATGGATTTTTTTAAAATATGTTCCCAGGTCAAAAGAATAGTGAACTGTCAAAATAATTTATTTATCTATTCTTTCCATTGTCTTCATCGCATGAATCATTTAACCAACCATAATATTATGCACCAACTGCAAATACAAATATTTAGATTATCTATTTGTCATGTGAGATTTTAAGAATCTTCGTAGGCATTAGAATGATTTCATACCATGTAAATCAATAAGATTTTGCAAGTATGAGGATCAATTTTATAATAAATATTTAAGTCTCATGTGAGATTTTAAAAATCTTCGTAGAGACTCAAATTAATCACATCATCATGTGGGATAATATATCCCCGCAGATATCGTGATTCTCAATCTGTATATATTACATAAATGAATTTTTGTAAATAAAATAATAAATGTTTTTATGATTTTAATTAATTAAATTAATAAATTTGAATTATAATCACTTTGTCAAATTAGATCTTTTGGTCATGTGAGGTTTTTGAAACTCTATAGACCTTTAAGATAATCGTACTACCATATGAGTCAATAAGGCTTCGCAGGTATAACGGTTAAGATTTCTATATTTAAAAATATGCATTGTATACTTACGCATTAAAATATATTCAAAGTGAATATTATTTAATCCTTTTATCATATGAGACCTTGTATCCCTACAGATATTCAGGATAATCTCATATCGTGTAAATCCATAAGGTTTCGCAAATATGAGAGTAAAACTTATACGTTACTATGGGTTCAAAAGGCCCATCATTAAATTTAACTCTCTTTTTATAACCCAGATTAATAATTTATTTAAGTCTCATGTAAGATTTCAAGAATCTTCATAAGGACTTAAATTAATCACATTATCGTGTGAGATAATGAGTCCTCGCAGATATAATAGTTCTTAATATATATGAATGATGTTCGTAAATAATCATATAATAAACAATTCAAAAAATTAATTAACCAAATTAATGTATTTAAATGGTAATCACATTTACCAATTATATCTTTTAGTCATGTGAGATTTTTGAATCTCCATAGACTTATAAGATAATCGTATTATCGTATGAGTCAATAAGACTCTACAGATATAACGATTAAATTTATTAAAATATATATAAATTATATATTAAATTAATTAAAT